TAATTCCAGAATTTCTTTTTAGTTCTTTTTTATAATTTTTGTGTCTTCATTGATATTCTCTATTTGTTCATACACCATTTTTCAGAATTTCCCTTAGCTTTTCCCCATGGTTTCATTTAGCTCTTTGAGAGTTTTTAAGTGACTTAAAAATCTTTATCTAGTAAGTACAGTGTCTGTGCTTTCTTAGGGACAGTTTCTGTTAATTTCCTCTGTGAATAGGCCATACTTTCTTGCATGTCTCCCCACCTTCCCCCTTGAAAAATAGACACTTGGTAGTAACTCTGGAAATCAGATTCTTCCCCATCCTCAGGGTTTATTTGTTGTTTGCTGTAGACTGCAGTTGTTTGTATAGTGATTTTTCTAAACTGTTTTTGTAAAGTCTGTACATTTTGTCATGTCTGGTCTCTGACATCTTTGTTCCTTTAGCTTGTGTTTAGCTAGTGTTTTGACAGAATTTTCTTTCATTGACTATCAGGAAGGAGGAAAAGAGAAAAGAAAGAAAGTCAACCTCTTCATCTTTGCATATTGCTTTTGTGCCGAGAACTCCTTCAGAGCTTATGTGTGCCATTTTCAGCTCTGAATTTCCTTTCCTTTATGCTTGAACTAAGCCTAGAGATCCACCAGAGATGAAAGTTTAGGATTTCTGAGAAGACATGTTATGAGCATGTTTCCTGCCCTGGGCATATGTTTAGCTTTCTAAATTTCCTAGTATCCAAGGGCACCTTTGAATGTCGTGAGTTCCAAAGGAAATGCTCTCAGCTTTTCCTTTCAGGCTTCTGACATTCTATTTTTGCTTAAAGTGTAATTTTTTGTTTCATGTGATAGCAGTTTCTTTATTTCTTTGTTCATTTCTTTTACAGTGTTTACAAGGAATGCCCACACCTTTCCCCTTCGCTACCTTAGTGAGTTCTGAGTTAGGTAAAATAAAAGCAAGCACCTTGTGTCAGTTTTTCAGGTAGACTTAGACAAGTTAGAAGGAGCACTGGTGGCATAGTGCCTAAGGCATTTGTCTGCTTTGAGAATATAGTCTGCTCTGCTTTCTTTGCAGCTAGAGTCTCATCTGGCAATGTGGGCTCCTGGCTTCATGACTGCCACCAAGCAGAGGAGAGGAGGGTGGGGCAAAGATAAATAGAAACGACCTAATGCTTTCCTCGCTTTCCAAAATTACCTCCCCTACTCCAAGGTTCAGGAGCTCTGGTAGCATAGTGGCTAAAGCACTTGACTGCTAACCAGAAGGCTGGCGGTTCAAACCCACCAGCCACTCCTCGGAAGGAAGGTTGGGCAATCCTACTTCTGTAGTGATACTGCCTCGGAAACCCAAGGAGGGGTCGCTATGAGTCGGGGCCGACTCGACGGCACATAACAACAACAACAACAACAACTCCAAGGTTCATTTGATTTATTTTGAGTATTTTCCAATATTTTGATAAAGTTTATTTTGACAGTATTTATATGATTTTTCTGTTTTTTGGTAAGGACGGGCCATGGGGCTTCTACCTATTCTGTCATTTTTTGCTGATGTCTCAGAGAAGGTTTTAATACAGGAACATAGTTATCAAGGTGTTTAAAGCAGGGATCAAGGTGGGTGAAGGAAGGCAGAAGACAGTATTCAGTCATCGTAAGACTGATGCTGCCCATAGGCTGGAGCCTGTGAATCTTGACTCAGCCTTGCTGCTACTGAGCAGAAATCGCATCGTCAATTGTTGTTATGGATTATGTTGCTTGAGCCTGCAGTCACTTGCTGCTGCTGCAGGAGCCAAAAGTAGAATGATCTTTTTTTCTCCTGCTTTCCTCCCTCCTCCCTCTGGAAATCACCTGACAAGAAATCTGGAAACTGTTTTTGGCTTCCAGTCTTACATGATAGTGTTGAAGGACAAGAATGACACCAAGTTTATATATACAGTTTGTGACATGAAAGGGAATACATAAAGGCATTCTAGATCTACCTCTCATGCCCTGAATTTGTATTCCTTTTGTATTTATTGGTACGGGGTTAGTGTTTGTTCTCAGAAAATTTTATGCTTGCTTTTTCTAATAAAATTGTAAGTTCCTTACTGTTTTTATGTTGTTTCTTAAGCTTTCTTATACAGCACAATTACAGTGCTTTAACTGTAGTATGCATTCCCAGTTTGATGAGAATGACATCTGTCATATCTTGCTAGACTTATTAATTTAACTTCTCTAAAGGATGGTGGGATTCACTTTTGTGTCCTCATCATTCACCACCCAACAATAAATGTTTGTTGATAAGAATGATCTCTTTCAGCATATTCAAATCCACATTTCAGGTTCTTAATAAATACATGTGGGTAATAGTTATCATTGTGGCACATATAGAACATTTCCATCCTTGCAGACAGTTCTATCAAACAGAGCTGTATGCATTTGAGACTATTCTAAGATCAAATTCTAATATCAGAATTTTTTTTTAAAAAAAAATCAGGTTTAGTGAGGTATAATTTACAAAGAGTAAAATTCACCTTTTTCAGTGTACAGTTTTGACAGATGTATAGTGATGTAATCATTACCACAATCAAGATAGAGCTCAGTTCCATTGGAGCACACCTCCCCCGCCATACACACAATTTCTTTGTGTCCCTTTTTCAGTAAAACTCTTTCTTGCCCATAGCCCCTGACAACCACTGACCTCTTTTCTGAACTTAGACTTTTGCCTTATTCACAGTATCTTATAAGTTGAATCATACAGTAGATTTCCTTTTGAGTCTAGGTTATTTCACTGAGTATAATAGATAAAAGATTCATCCCTGTTGTTGAATGAATCAGTAGTTTATTCCTTTTTATTGCTGCGTAGTATTTCATTATGTGTGAACCACATTCCAGTTGATGGACATTTGAATTGCCCTGTTTTTAGTGATTATAAGTAAAGCTTTCTTTGTGTAAAGTTTTATTGTATGGCTGTTTTTTTTTTTTTTTTTTCTTGCATAGGAAGCCTCTTTTATTGATGGATTGTCTCCAGAAACCAAAAAAGCTGTGTCCCTACTTTCAGTTACCCCCTACCCCTCCAGGATCTAATATTGTTTTACCTGGAAAGGAGCTCTAAATTGTCTCTGTTTTCCAAGGTGCACGTTTTTCCCTTCTATGTGCAGCCTAATTTAAAAGCTCAGCAACAATACTGTTTGTTTTTCCCTTCCTCCAGTAATGCCTGTTTCGTCTGCTTAGTAACAGCTAGGAGTGGAGGAGGACAGGGGAAGCAGTTGGATAAGTAAGAAAACTTCCAAAATTGACTTCTTCTAACTTCACAAAGGGGAAAGAATAACCATCAGCATCAGCCCAAGGCTGATTCCTGTGAGGCAGAAGTCAGGCATACTTTCACTCACCAACTTTTTTTTTTTTTTTTTACCAATTTTTATACCAACCATCCCTTCCAGACAGAGTCTCTACTTCTCTGCTTGGTTTGATTAATTTGTTGCAATGGCCACACAGAACTCACAGACAATACTCATGATTATGGGGTTTATTAAAGAAGTAACAGGTTACAATTCAGGATCAGAAATGACTTAGGAAACAGTTCTTTGATCAGGATAGCCTCTTCTCAGCCATGCCCTCAGGCAGGCCAGTCTTTTGGGCCTTTGGGCCTTTGGGCCTCCCGGAAGGGCCTTGTCCTGTCCTGACTGGACAAGTGTTACAGAGTTCTTTAGCTCCTGCAGTAAGTGCTCGGAGGTAACCTACTCTGCCAGTAAACTTCATCCCAAAGGTTCTCAGCTCTCTTGCTCTGTGGATTGGTGAGTTTAGCTGCATCAAGTGGCCAGAGGTACCCACTCCACCAGCAAGCCTCCTGGCTAAAGGCACTCAGTTCTGTAGCTCTGTGGGCTGGGAAGCCCATCATGCCATTTCCTGCTGATTGCCTGGTTCTGCTGCTGCCGTTTCTCTACCACTCTTCTTGCCATCTATTACTGTCCCTGGTGTTACTGCTTTCTGTCTCCTGGATCTAGTAGGTTCCCAGTGCAGGGACCTTGGGTCCAAAGCACTCTCTGCTCCCGTCTCCTCTCCTTAGTAGTAGTCATGTCCTCCTTTTCCTCCTCTGGGATGGCAAAACTGATCAACCCCTTGTTAGAGTTCTGTATACATTATTTGCATGATCCTACCCCCACAAGGGGGAGCTCTGGTAGCATAGTGGCTAAGACACTTGCCTGCTAACCAGAGGGCTGGTGGTTCAAACCCACCAGCCACTCCTCAGAAGGAAGGTTGGGCAATCCTACTTCCGTAGTGATACTGCCTCGGAAACCCAAGGAGGGGTCGCTATGAGTCGGGGCCGACTTGACGGCACATAACAACAACAACAACAACAACAACAACCCCCACAAGGGTGCCATGTATCTTATTTGCATCATTAGCAAGCTGTCCAATCCCCTTACTGGGCCACAAGCACCTTACTTTCATAGTCCCACCAATCATTTGATGGGAGTTACAAGACCATGACTAGAAAGGCCATATAAAAGCCATCCTCACACTGCAATAATGGAAACTTCTCTCTTGATGTGTATGAATGCTGAAAGGGAATAAATGAAGTGGGAGATCTGTACTGGCATGGGCATCAGCTTTATATAAATAGTGTAGTAGAGTGCACAGGAGATTGAATGAGACCAGGAAACAGAAAGTCTGGGCTCCTTTCCCTCTCTGCCACCCAAAAACCCCAAAACTGTGTAATTATGTCATTACTCTGTCCCTTTACAAATGTATCTGGGAATTTTCGTGGCGTTGAATTACTTGCCCTCTGAGGTCTTTTCTAACTTACTATGTCTTACTCTCTTGAAAAAGCTTTTTGCCTTGTGATGAAAATTGGGAATCTTGTGTTCATTATAAGATTATTGCTTTGAGAGTAAACTACCAGAACAATTCTAGTATCTAATAAAGCTACAATGGTGTTTTAGGGAAAATCTAGCATTCGCTTTGTATTTTTTCAAAAAGTACTCATAGTATATGTCTTACAGAAACTGACAACTGTGTGATTTTAATATCCTCTGTATGCTTTGTTTTAGGTTGGTACCGAGGTGTGTCAACAAAGAAGCCAAATGTAAAGGTAATGAAAAGTTTATTGTTACCTTTTCAAATGTAGGGGAGGAGCTACCTAATATATTTGTTTAACACTAAATCAAATCTGATTGGCTTTCTTTTTAATCTTTTACAATGCACAGTTATTTTTTCCTATAGTACTGTATCAGACTCTTCTCTGAGTCACCAGTATTAAAATTGTTTTTCTAATGGCACAGAAAATGCAAATATGATCATAGCTTTAAAACTTATCTTGAAAATTCCTGTTTAGGAGATACTTTGTCTTTCAAATAGTTTGATAAAAATAAATTGGTTTATTCTTAGGCCTAGTACTGTGGAACTATGTGAGTAGTTTGAATTTATATCAACAATGCAAAATAGAAAAAAAAAATGGAGTAATATCTAGTTAGATATATCTCTGTTGAGCACAGTGTTCTTGTTAAAATATGAATTTAAACAAGAAATATTGTAAGTTCAGAATACAAATATTATATATCAGTATTTATGTTTATTCCACTACTAATTAGGATTAATTTGATTAAACAAAATATATTTTCATTTGCATTTAAAATACACATAGAGACACTTAGAGACTCTTGACCAGATAGGAATTGTAGCATTCAGAAATACTAGTAAATGAGAAAACATTTATTTCTATAAGACAGTTTTTAAAAAACTCTCAAACTTTAATCTTTTTTGTTGTATAATGCTTGGTGGTAAGAAATATGATTCATAAAGAAAAACTTGGGTGAATGTGAAATATCCTTTTAGCTTTATATTTTCATGACTATGTATTAAAACGACAGTTTTAAAGAGGAGCATGCTAAGAAAATATACACTACTAAATGATTTCAAGAATGATAGTTACTTTGATTTTTCTTCTTTTTGAAAAGTACTTTATTTTGCAGCATATACTCCTGGGATAAAACTTCCCTTGGATTTATAATTTTAGAGACTAAAACAAGTTTTTGAGTCTTAGTGTTATTTTCCTTTGGTGAAATACACACAACACATGTTAGGCTCATCAAAAATATAACTTTCTTAAGAACATGAATAAAGCACAAAAGAATAAGAGAATAAAATAAAATTAAGAAAAAAGAGCAAATATTTTGTTATAATTTTGTACATTTTTCTTTTAATTTTAATTTTTTTAAAATTTTGATTTGGGTGAAAGTTTACAGAGCAGATTCACTTTCCATACAGTAGTTCACATATGCTTTATCTGATGACATTGATGACAATTTACCACAACAGCTCCCCTCCCATTTCTTCCCGATAGTTACCTCTTCCCTGTGTCCATCCTTCCATGCACTCCTGCCCCATGAGCTGTCTGCCTGTGCGTAAACAGCCCTTCTTTCTCCCATGATTTTTCTCTCCAAGGAGTGTATCTACCTCAGGTAAATGTTCAGCTCATATCCCTGTCTTTTGTATGGCTGGAAGCCACAGGTGTTGGTTCAATTCCAGAGTTGAAGGGCAGCGAGGTGCCATAGTCTCAGTGGTTCCACCAGGCTCTATTGGACCAGCAAACCTGGTGCTCCCCCTATATTTTTTTTTCCCAAATGATTTTGAGTTTTGTTCCACATTGTTCTCCCTGTCTATCCAGGATATCCTACATAGATACGCCTCTAAGTGGTTGACAGTGGTAACTGGGCACCATCTAGTTCTTCTGATCTCATAGTCATACGAGCTGCAGATCGCATGGTGTACCACTCGCTAGGGCTAATTGTTTCCATGAATCTTTGGTTTTCTTCATTCTTCTTTGCTCTGGATGAGGAAAGACCCATTGTTGCATGTAGATGGGTGCTTGCAAGCCTTTTTTTTTTTTTTTTTTTAATTGTGATTTGGTTGAAAATTTACAGAGCAGATTCACTTTCCATACAGCAGTTCACATACACTTTGTCTCATGATATTGGCCACAATTAACCACAATGCAACAGCTCTCCTCCCACATCCTCCTGATAGTTACCTCTTCCCTTTGTTCATCCCTCCATATACTCCTGCCCCCTGAGCTGTCTCCCTGTGCATAAGCAGCCCTTCTTTCTCCCATGATTGTTCTCTCCAAG